TAGTTGTTGTCGCAATATTAAATTGGTATTTCATTGTTCCATGTCAAAACATGATATGAAAAAAAAAAAACAATAAAAAGCCAAACGGCAACACTACCTTTATTTAAAGGAAAACAAGGTGACTTAAGATAAGTGTTGTTCCTACCAAAAGAACGATACGAAAACAGGCTCATCAATTCATCAGATCAAATGAAGTTAGCTGAGACTTAATGTCAGAAAGTTTTTCTTCATGGTCGGCCCGAATCAGCATCTCGGCCCGTTTCCGAAGCTCTTCCTCACTAGACAGCATGGCAGATACCTCCTTCTTAGCCTCTTCCAGAGCACCAGCCTTGGCACGGTAATTCACCAGGGAAGCAGCACTTTTGACGTTGAGCTCAGTGACAATAGATTCTTCTCGTTTGAATTGAGCCTTCATCCTAGTCAACTCCACTTCAGCGGCAGCGATCTTCTCTCGCAAATTCTCCAGAGAAGTATTCGAAAGTGTCAGCTCAACTTGTTTTTGAGCATGTAGCTGTTGCAGTTGTTCAACCTCAACCTCTTCCTCAGCTATATGACGTTGAGCGGCTTCATACTTATTGAGTTCTTCGGCTCGAATCTTCTCAAAAGTAGATGCAATTTGCGCTTGGATATCAGCGCGACCCAAAGCCTCCAAGAATCTGAGTTGTCCCTCTAGACGTGAGATAGCTTCAGAGCAGCGCTGAACGACGTCGACGTCACCTACAAGCTTGAGGTTGTTCAAACTATTCGTGAGCATGGGTTTGAAGGTATCAAAAGTATCTCGTCCGGCTAGCACAACCTCAATTATTTTCTTGGTAAGCCCTCTCAAGTAGTCAAGGGAAATCTTGACAAAATCTGGTACATCTGCGGGGCTCGAAACAGCAATAGGCGACGGTACAGAAACTTCTGAAGATGCTAAGCCAAGTAAAAGACCAGCAGGCGATTTCGGTGTAGTGGCTTGTGAAGGAGTGCCGATATCCAGCTGAGATGGACTCGATTGCAAAGCCATCAGTTCCCCCATTTGAGATGACCTTGGAACGTCTACCACTTCGGTAGAGGCTAGAGAAATTGTCAGTAAAGTCGTCGGTGGAAGAGCCGTTGTGGAGGTCTCCAAACGAGGTGGCTCTGACACCTGAGCTGGTGGTGGTATAAGCTGTTGCGTCGAAGGAGGGGTGACAGTACTCGCTTCATGTATCATAGGATCTGTATGAGAAATCTATTTAAATACAGAGAAAAGATTAGTGGAGCTGAAACAAACGGCACTTACCAGTGAGAGGTAGGGGAATGTAGGCTGACGCTTTGTCGGAAAAGGATGATGGTGGGATATACCAGTCTTCTGGATCATCGCTGTCATCACCCAAGTTGTCATCATTTTCATCACCTCCACCTTGGTCTCCATCATCATTCATATCATCATCACCCCCACCTTGGTCACCCTCATCATTCATATCATCATCGCCGTCGCTATGATCCATGGGCTCATCCTCGCCTACGGAAGAAAATGCTGATGCATCTTCGGTGATTGTAGGCTTTGCTATGATCCCAGTGGTAGGGCTAAGCTGTGAATCGCCTACAATTGGCAATAACACAGAGGTGGAAGGAGACTTGTCTGTTGCTGGGTCTTGCTGGGCAGTCACAATAGGTTCGGGGACAGGAGGTATATCTTCTACCACGTGAGAAGTAGTGGAGGCAGTATCATGAAGCGTGCCTTCGGGGACAAACTCCGCACCCCCCTGCAAAAGATTCATCTCCATGCTCTTCTTCATGCAATGAACGAGCAGAAGGATCATGGCCTCCTAAAGCAGGACTAACTGTGGGGAGAGTAGGCTGAGGCGAGAGTTCCAGAGCAGTCGATTCTTGTTCTTCTTCTTCAGAACGCCATGTTTTCTGAGCGTCCGACATAAGTTTGGAAGCAGGGGGTTCAAGCGTTAACTTCCGACGAGCTCTTTTGTCATACTTGGCTTCTTCGACCGCCCCCAGCGCCCTTTTGCCCGTAGCACTCTGACTCCGGGTCAGAACTCTTGAAGGTTGTACCTTGTGGGTATCCGGTATCCTGATCTCTTCCTGAGCTCGCTCTGGTGACTGTTGCCGTTCACCCTCCGTAATCGACTTTTCATATGACAAATATTCATTGGCACCCCGGGCACGGAACCGCTTAGCACTCTTCTTTGAAGCATACCATTTGCGGATGTCTCTTAAGCAGGAGGTATTCATGTGGTAAGCTGAAATCTGAGAAGCGGCCTGGTACCATGTACAGAAGCTCAAAGAAGTACGAGCATTGGGCGTCTTATGTGGCAGTCGGAATTTTGCTCCGGTACAACCAGCTACTGAGTAGTACCAAGCTCTTGCTCCTTCATACACATTACCTGTGTATGCAAGAGTAGGGTTTGGGTTCCCAACATAGAGCTGATCATAGCCAAATTGCCGAGAAAAACGATAAGGCTGATATGGTTCAATAAAGCATTTTCTCCCTTGTCGAAAAATAAGATAGCCCGGACGAATGTTTATGAGCCACCAAAAGGCACCCCTGCTAAGCATGGTGAAAGAATTCGGTCCCGGAGTGTCTTGATGAAGTTCTCCATACGCGCCGCCCTCGAAAGCGGGAAACTTACAAGCAATCTCGTAATTATAATCCCGTCTCAATATTTCACGGAATCTAACTTGATACCAACCGGCCCATTCAGAGGTTTCTAATTGCTGAACAAGAGGAGTTGAGGTGCCACTTGATTCAGGAGTCGTCATTATCGGAGGGCAATGCAACACAAACCAAGACACCAAATAAATGTATGGCATCGGTACTCGAGGGGTTGGGGTCTGAATGATAGTCTTCCCGTCGGAATCCACTTTCTTGACAGCAACAAATTCGGAAGATAGTTCCCGCAAACCACTTTGTAAGCAGCACACCATGGCTGAAAGAAGATTCAAGGGTCGTCCATAAGCCAATAGAACGGCGGGGTACAAAACTTCTACTGTAATAGCATCCACTGGCCTTGTGGGGACCACACAACGCTTCAACCAAAGAGTTAGAAAACCAGCAAACAAAGCCATGTCGGAGATTGGAACTTCTGCCTGATAGTGGAAACTTTCAAACGTGGTAAACGCCGGGAAGACATCCTCCTCAACCTCGCAAGTATAATGAGAAGTTGCGTCATTGATACGTTCCGTGATTTCCTCAAGGGTACTGGCCGCTAAGCGAGTCACCTCAGCTTCTTTGTCCCACAGATTGTGGAAAAGATATTCCGCCCATTGTCCTTGTTTCACGCCGCTTGCTCTTTTCCCAGTAATTTGCGCACATATCTGGAAATGGCACATCAATTCCCAGTAAGTGTCGTAGATTTCGGGAGCACCATTTTTCAGGATCTCTAATTCCCTGCTTCCGGGAACAAACTCCTCATAAGGCAATTCCCCAAAAGACAGTCCAGAAATCTCAAACATTTCGTGGAGAGCGAAGCCCAGCTCACCAACTGGAGTGAAAAAGGTGCCGGTGTGAGGGTTGTAGAATTCCAGCATAGCGAAGAGTCCGCTGTAATTCGGAGGAATACCGTATCGAGTGGCTGTTATAGGAACTCTCAAATCCGAAATTCTCAAAGGTTCTTCTAGTTCCTCCAAGACGAAATTTATCATCCGGGCCCACCAGTCCGCATCACTGGAGTGAACCCAAGTAGGGGCCCTGAAATCCCGAGCAGGGAACTCTCCTTTGACAGAAATAAATGTTCTGATAAACACCTCCAGCTTATCAACCGCTGCCCAACGCAGCTTATCAACCGCTGCCCAATGCAGCTTATCAACCGCTGCCCAACGCAGCTTATCAACCGCTGCCCAATGCAGCTTATCAACCGCTGCCCAACGCAGCTTATCAACCGCTGCCCAACGCAGCTTATCAACCGCTGCCCAACGCAGCTTATCAACCGCTGCCCAACGCAGCTTATCAACCGCTGCCCAACGCAGCTTATCAACCGCTGCCCAACGCAGCTTATCAACCGCTGCCCAACGCAGC